CAAGAAGCTACTAGGGTGGAGGCCATCGCTACTAGTAGCAAGAAGCTACTAGGGTGGAGGCCATCGCTACTAGTAGCAAGAAGCTGCTAGGGTGGAGGCCATCGCTACTATTGATTATCACGAGCCCTATTTGGGTTTACGGTTTGGGCAGCGTGTTTGCGCAAGAGCTTTTCCAACGCATAAAGTGAAGATACCTGAAAATCGATGGTCCGCAATGTGCGGTGCTGAGTTTATATGAAAAAAATAGTTGTACCGGCGACGCTGGGACTCTTTTTTTCTGCGAGAGGTCACGAGTTTACGTTGGCTCAAGTTGGCTTCTGGATCTCCAGCAAAATGTGACTCTGTCCCAATATGAGCGTGACTTACTCTAGAACTCTAGCAGTTGTGTCACCTCACAAGCAAACTACGCCACATACCAACTTCATCTACCTTTATACCAAAAAAAACGAAGGATACATAAGTTCAGCATAAGTTCCCAAAGTGTATGCAAGTAGTTCAGCATATGTTTCCTGAGTTCTGCATAATATGCTGAACTCGTTCTTATCTTAGCTTAGCAAGTTCAGCATATATGCTAAACTTATGCTGAACTTATGCTGAGCTATGCTAAACTTACCAAGCTATGCAAGAGTTATTCTATTCTAATATGTTCTTCGACCACGCAACTTTACGAGGACTTAGTTGTAAGTCCACACGACCGGCGCTTGGTCTGCAGATTCTTTGCAAATTGTATGTTGTTTATTGAATGCTTAAACATATTCTTGATCTTCTGAAATATCCTGTGCCTTTCTTGCAATGCATTTCCTGCGATACAAAAATGACATCAACAAAAATGCACATAACCCAAAAATGAGGCTTTGAAACTGCATAAAACCAAACGCTGTAAAAAACACACCTCTGAACCCAACATGGTTCGTCGAAATAGACCTCGCGATAATTAGTAAGCAAGAAGCTACTAGGGTGGAGGCCATCGCTACTAGTAGCAAGAAGCTGCTAGGGTGGAGGCCATCGCTACTAGTAGCAAGAAGCTGCTAGGGTGGAGGCCATCGCTACTAGTAGCAAGAAGCTACTAGGGTGGAGGCCATCGCTACTAATAGCAAGAAGCTACTAGGGTGGAGGCCATCGCTACTAGTAGCAAGAATGACACACTCTTTCTCTCTTCAGGTAGGGACATTTCTCGTCGTCCAACCTGCGGCTAGCAATTGACTTGCTGACATCTCTGACTGCATTGTTTTCAGGGTGTTTGTTTGTTTCTTTTCTATATTTGACTTTTCTTCCTGTTTTTGTTCTTTGTCTATTTGCTTGCCTGCACAAAGGTTGTCCAAAAACATTTGCTGCACAAAGCCAATAGAAACAGAGCAAGTGCATAGCCGAATCCTGAGACATACGGATTCTGTCGGCTGAAATGATGGTTCCGCAAGTGCAATAGGACTCAGTAGCTTCTTGTTACTACTAGTAAGGCACTTGTTCCTAGTAGCGTGGCACTTGTTCCTAGTAGCTTCTTGTTACTACTAGTAGGACTCAAGAGCAGTGCGATTTGGCAACTTTGTCCTGATCTGCGCGGCATCAATCCTGTGTCGATTGATTCTCTGCAACTTGCATTCTTGCACGAGTACCCTTCTTTTGTCTGTTTTTTTTCGATTCTCGGGAAACAAATGCAAAACCACCAAAGACAAGAATGCTTTGAGCTCACCAAAAGTGAATTCTCCTGACAGGAAGTTTTTCAAGTTCCAGGGCAAATGGTTTTTGTCCGAAGACTGTTTGAGCCATTAGCGACAAGAGAATGCAGTGTGCTGGCAATGCACTGAAATGCTTGCAGTTTGAGTATCCAGAAAACTGTCTGCCCTGAGCTGTCTGCATTGTCTCGCTGACTTGTTCCTAGTAGCTTCTTGTTACTAGTAAGGCCAGGAGCCCCTAGTAGCTTCTTGTTACTACTAGTAAGGCACTTGTTCCTAGTAGCGATGCACTTGTTCCTAATAGCTTCTTGTTTCTACTAGCGTCCTTGTTACTACTAGTAAGGCACTTGTTCCTAGTAGCGTGGCACTTGTTACTACTAGTAAGGCACCTGTTACTACTAGCGTGGCACTTGTTCCTAGTAGCTTCCAACCTGAGCTGTCTGCATTGTCTCGCTGCATCTTCAAAGAGTGTCCGCTGACTTTCAATCTGCCAAGGAATGTCCAACGATCATAGCCGTGCAAAATGCAGTTTAAGCAGAAAGTGTTGCAAAGCGCAAAGTGAAAAGAAAGCCAAAAGATTTGAACGGCAGTGCCCGGCTTCAAAGTGGTAGCACGCCGTCTTGTAGCCATCATCGTGTTCAAAAGGGCCGACCCTCCAAGTCGACTTCATGTGCACAAAAATAGAATAGTAGGGCTCCACAATCATCAAAACAGGATAATGCTCATAGCCTCCTTTAAAGGAGCCTTACCTTCCCTTGTTTATATCGCTTTTCTTTTACCATTGTTTTGCCTAATATACTGTTCGTTCTGTTTGTGTCTTTCATTCTGTTCGATTGATCGTTTATGTTATTTTTCTCGCTTACAACAGTGTTCTTGACCTTTATGTTTGGGTTCTTCTTTTTGCCTTTTGTGAGTTATAGAGTAGTAACAAGAAGCTACTAGGAACAAAGGGCATCGCTACTAGGAGCAAGGACGCTACTAGGGCTCCTGGCCTTACTACTACGAGCAAGAAGCTCCTAGCAACAAAGGGTATCGCTACTAGTAACAATATGGAGGCAACCTGCAGTTGCTCTGAGGGCCCGACAAACAACCTGCGAAAGGATCTGCTGATTGTTCCTCAGAGGAGAGATCTGACCTGGGCGTTGAGTGCGGATTGGTGCGGATTGGCTTGTGGCATTGCGCTTGCTTCAGCGCACCATGGTCGTAGTGTCTTCTCCATGTTCCGCAGGGCTTCAGGAATCCTCAAAAGCAAGAAGCATCAAACACTATTGGGTTGCAGGCCATCGCTACTAGTAACAAGAAGCTACTAGTAGCAAAGAGCATCGCTACTAGGAGCAAGGACGCTACTAGTAGCTCCTGGCCTTACTACTAGGAACAAGAAGCTACTAGGTGGAGGCCATCGCTCTTAGGTTGGAGGCACTCTCTCTGCTGTTGCATTTCGAAAGCACATTCTCAGTCTCAGACCCTGGAAGGCGACAGCAGCGCTCCAACTCTGTGCAGATTGTGCTGCTCCAGTTCCTGAAGGAATCATTTGGCCAAATAATAGTAGCGTCCTTGTCCTTGCTCCCAGTAGCGATGCCCTTTGCTCCTAGTAGCTTCTTGCTCCTAGTAGAAAGGCCAGGAGCTACTAGTAGCGTCCTTGCTCCTACAAGATTGCTGCTCGCACTTGTTTGCTCTGGTTGCAAGCATCACAAGGATCTCGTGTCAGATATCTGTTCGACACCGAAACTGTATCAAGTCCAGGCACGTGAGCTGATCCCGTAGGGTTTCCAAATCCTCCACTGTTTCACGTTCGCGCGACAAGACAAAAGAGAAGATTACGGTTTTCTCGAAGAAAAAAGAAACAATAAGCTAGTAGTAACAAGTGCATCGCTTCTAGTAACAAGTGCCTTACTAGTAGTAACAAGAAGCTATTAGAAACAAGAATTAGAATTGGAAACAATAAGCTACTAGTAACAAGTGCCACGCTAGTAGTAACAAGTGCCTTACTGGTAGTAACAATTGCTTAAGGTTTCAAAATAGAATAATTAGGTTCACAGGATTCCAAAGGTTTTAACATGATAGTGATGGCCTCCAACCTAAAAGTAGGAAAGGCAAACATGAAAACGATCTTCTTGCTTCACAATGATGGCTTGAATAGCCGCAGGACCACCACCTTGTGCTGCTGCCGTGACAAAGCCCAACTTGGCGCTGCGCTCCAACGCCTCACGCCACACCTGAGTTCCACATTGCTATATGTTCAGAGGTGTTTGCTGTGTTTCTTTTTTTTAGCCCGTGTCCCTACCCCTGCCTCCTTACTTAATTAAATAGGCGCCTACTTGATTAAGTAAGGGGGTAAACACGCTACTAGCAATAGGAAGCTCCTAGCCAGGACGCAGGATAGCTCACGCACAAAGGATTTGGTTCCTAGATCTTTAGTTTTGCTCTCGTCTCTTACTTTCCAGTGCCTCAACTTGCCCAACACCAGCCCAAACAGACTTCTCCCAGCAAAAAATGTAACTGTCAACAGTGCACGTGGGTTTGAGATCTTGTACAACTCATTGATAGGTTTCTCTAGGCTTTCCTGCAATTGAATTGTGAGATGTCAGATCTCTTCACAGGATTTCTGCAAGATAGAAGATTCGTTCAGGATGTCAGAGTCAGAGCTTGAGACTCGCTAGGAATCTTGCTGAGCCATCGTCAACTGTGAGGCCGCCCTCTGCGCAGCAGCAATCAAAGCCTACAGAGGAGACAGCTATTAGGTTGGAGGCCATCGCTAGTTGGTTGGAGGCATCAACGACATCTTGGGTCAAAGTTTTCTGCCGGGCGGCCTCATCATCAGCATCCTTGTCTTCTTCCTTTACCCCTAGCTGCTTGAACATTTCCCCTTCAATCATGTCATCCTGGCGCAAAATGATCATTGATCATTGCAAATCTTAAAGAAATGAACACCACGTTTCTTCAGACAACGTGTCTCCTCACAGTTGTTGTCAGAGTTGTGCGAGATGTCACCTGGAGAGGAACAACTTAGCATGTGAGTCGACAAAGGCAAGGTTGAAAGTGAAAATTCCATCGCTTCAGGCTGAGCATGGAGGCCATTGCTAGTAGGTTGGAGGCCATTGCTAGTGGGTTGTGGAGGACAGAAAACGTGCCTGAAGAATCTCCAAAAACGTCCAAGAAGAGAACCTGACGGACAAATCAGCAAATGTTGACCATCATCCATCTCTTTCAAAAAGAAATCCTGGGGCGAGATTAAAGCCTCCAAACATCAAACAGTTCAATTCAAGCCCACCTTAACTAATCTGAAGCAAAATTGTGAACTGTATAAAACAGCCACAGGGAAGTGGGCACACCAACCCAAAGTGGGCACCCTGCGAGCATATTGTGCGAAGAAACCGCAGAAACTATTGAGACCCAGCCAGGTTGTGAGCCCGACAAGTCAGGAAGGACCTAAACCAGCAAGCGACAAATAGTTAGTAACCAGTGCATCGCTGCTAGTAGCAAAGGGCTGACGTTGTTACTAATAGTTTCTAGCTACTAATAGTAAGGCACCGTGTAATAACAAAAAAACGAGAGCACGCCCAAACCCGCTGTCCTGGCGGAAGCGTCGTGGAAGCCTTAGAATGCTCCGGGTTTCTGCAAAGACTATTTGTGCATACATAACTTTGCGCCAGCACCAAAAACCTGTGAAACCTCAACGGCCAACGTCAGTTTGGAAGAATTCAAATTTCACATTCAACAAGTATTGCACAAAATTAGTAGCTTCCTTTTCCTAGTAGCGATACCCTTTGTTACGTTCGTAGCGAACATTGTTCCTAGTTGTGACCCCAGCCTGGTGACGTTTGGCGTCACTACGCGTGCGTCTTGTTCTTGTGTCGGTTGTTCTTTCGGAACCGGAAGAGATACGTTCCGAACGCAGCGTCCGATCGCTCCTAGTAGTAAGGCCAGGAGCTACTAGTAGTTTCTTGTTACTACTAGTAAGGCACTTGTTCCTAGTAGCTTCTTGTTC